CCTCCTCCTCCTCCTCCTCTTCTTCTTCTTTCTTTAATGTCTATGTTAGTTTTCCCGTGGCATGCCTGACATGAACAACTTAGAAACAGGAAAGATTTGTTTCGCAGATCTGGCTTACAGTTTCAGGGATTTCAGTTTGTTATTGTGGGGAAAGCCTTGTGGAACACAAGTTTTCATCATTACAGTCAGGAAGCAGGCATATGATCAGAAACAGCCAGGGCAAGAGACAGACACCATGCCTTGCTCATATACGGAGTGTGGCATTAAATTTGACTCAAGAGAAAATAGGAAACCTTGATAGTCTTATTTCTAAAGAAGAAGCCAGACCACTTGACACTAGAAGCCATCCTAGGAAAAAGAATGTTCTCATTACTTCATGACATATAAAATATAAGATATCTATTGAAATCAATGAGTAAAGCTATTTACAGATACTGATATGATTGGCTGTTTAAAGACCTGGAAAAGTGACCAGGAAAGGAGTTGAGTAGATTAAAACTAAAATTCAAAACCATTATTCCTTATCAAAGTGGAACTTCATTTGGTACCCTGATAGTGCCTACACTGTTGCTACTCAGAATGTTTGTTGTCCATGGCCAGCAACCTCAGTGTCACCCTGGAGCTCATAAGGAATTCCAGCTGCCAGCCAGATCTGCTGAATCAGAGCCCTCACTTCAACAATCAGACAGAATCCCAGGTCCCAGCCTTCCCTCTGGCCCATAGTCTGTACTTCAATAATCACAAAGTGATTCGTGTTAACGTTAGGAAGCTTGATGCCACTTCTGTTCCAATTCTATACCCAACTGTTCTAGCTGCTGTGATCTATCTGTTCAAGTTCACTTGCTTCTCAAAAATTTTAATCTCTTTTATGTGTGTGGGTGTTTTGCCTGCATGCATGCTTGCTTGTGTGTGTGTGTGTGTGTGTGTGTGTGTGTGTGTGTGTGTGTGTGTGTACATGTCTATGGGTATGTTTGCTCATGAGCATGCATGTGGAGGTCAGAAGTTGATGTTAGATGTCTTCCTCAATCCCTTTCTACCTTTGTTTTTGTCCTCATGTTTGTGAAGCAAGCACATCATCCTCTGAGCCATCTCCCCAGGCAACTGTGATCTGAATATGTATGTGTGTGCGTGCTCGTGCACACGTGTGTGTGTGTGTGTGTGTGTGTGTGTGTGTGTGTGTGCGCACGTGAATGTGTATAGTTTCATAACTAAACCAGTCTAAGATCTACTGTTTTATTATTTGTCATTAGACCAATTATTTAATGGAGCCAATAAATTATTGTGTTACATTTTGTAGTTTGATAATTGCTTTCTACATACATACACACACACACACACACACCACACATACACATATACATACATACATACACATATACACAATCATCTGTGCTTTATATTATGCATTTAGAGTTGGTAGTCAGAGTCAGTGAGATGATTCATAAAGACACTTGCTGCCAAGCCTGATGACCTGAGCTCCATCTCTGGAATTCACAGTGGAGGGAGCATTGACTCCCACAAGTTGCCCTCCGATCTAACCTTGACACACACTGTGGCTTGTGCACATGAATACAGCCACACACCCAAGTCTCTGCTTGTAAATAAATAAATTTCAGAGAGAAGTTATTCTGAGACACCATCTATGGTAGCTATCAAAGGCACAAGAGAAAAAGGACAGAGGTTAAGAACCCTTAAGGGGACACTGTTCCTCAGTAGCTCTGCCCCAACTAGGCCATCATCTGCCTCTACCTTGCTGCAGGCTCCACGAACTCCTGGCAACCCTAGACTTCCTCTGCATCCTAGGTTTTGCAGCTGTTGGTGGGATGGAAGGCCTGAAGGATCAGTACTTCTCAGCCCTGGCTAGTAACCGGAGTGAGAACAGCAGCTGTGGGCTGCCCCGAGAAGATGCCTTCCACATCTTCCGAGACCCAGTGACCTCTGACCTCCCCTGGCCTGGGATCCTGTTTGGAATGTCCGTCCCATCTCTCTGGTACTGGTGCACAGATCAGGTATGAGAGCTGACTGACTCCCCGATGCTTCTTTGCCGGGCTGGCTAATGTCAGTGGTGTGACTGCTGTGTGTGTTCCTCTGTCCCCATCCCCTCCATTCCTTCCATCCTCTCCTCTACTCAGCCTGATGTTTTGCTTCTTACTCTTGCAAATGCTACTGGTGTATCTGGAGCTGCTGATTTTTGCAAAAGGGGGAACTTGACATACCCTGCTCGCCTGGGAAGAGCCAGTCATAAACTCAATCATATGAAGGAGATGATACATTTCATTTCAAGATTTGCAGCGCACGTCATTTGTTCAGCAGACACCCCAGACATGTCTCTGGGCTCTTGAGGAATCTGGAGCCCATATGGAGCTACCCTGCTACTTCCTGGGGGAGACAGAGAGATGATAAATAAGCATTTCTTGTGAGACATTACAGGGTGTCACCTTTTAAAAAGGAGAGTGAGGCAGAAGAAGTCCGAGAGTGAGGGAAATGCAATTTAAAATAGGGTTGCAAGAAAAAGTGGCTGAGGAGGGACCTGAACAAAGTTGCTCTCTGACCCCCTCCCCCCACCCCCCACAAACAAAAACAAAAGAACCACTCAATTGCTACAATTTCTGTCATTTTTAGAATCTCAGAAAAGTCACAGACTGCTAATGTTCCAGTCATGACCAGGGCTTTTGTGAATTCGGAATGGATGAAACCCTTGAGTCCCAACACTTGTCCCCGGGCTCAGTATCTGTCACTATTTCTGCAGTTGTATCTTTCTGTATTTAACTGTGAAGCCTCTGGAAGTTGTCTGATGAGGTTCAGGCTCTTCAGAGAAACAGGCCTCAAAGCGGCATCTCCTTTGCCTGGAATTTGTGCACAGTGTACTGTGAAATCTCACAGAACTCAGGGGAGTGGTACAGAGGTGAATAAACCCCATCTCTGGACATCTGTAGCTGAAAGTTTTCCTGTGCCCGCCCAGCTCCTACGGCCTCATGGTCCCGCAGCTGCTCAGACCCAAATGAACACACAGAGGCTTATATGAATTGCGAAGTGTATGGCCTACTGGCTCAGGCTTCTCGCTAGCTAGATCTTACATCTTAAATTAACCCATTTCTATAAATCTACACTTTGCCACGTGGCTCATGGCTTACCGTTATCTTTACATCTTGCTTCTCATGGCTGCAGGTGGCAGCGTCTCCTCTGTTCTTCCTTTCTCCTTCCTCCTCTCTAGTTAGAATGTCCCACCTATCCCTTATTCTGCCTCACCATTGGCCAAACAGCTTTATTTATCAACCAATCAGAGCAACATATTTTCACAGCATACAAAAAGACATTCCTCCATCAGACATCCTTCTTATTAAGGGTGTTGATTGAGTGAAGACTAAATTTAGTAAGGAAAATAATAATTTTAACACAAAAGGACATTTAAAAAAAAGCCCTTCCATGCCTAGAAAGCTAGAGACAAATTATGGCCATTATTATCTATGTGAAATTACTATGTGTTAGATGCTATCCTAAGTATTCCAAATGCTTCTGCTTTACTTTCTCTTCCTTCCTTCCTTCCTTCCTTCCTTCCTTCCTTCCTTCCTTCCTTCCTTCCTTCCTTCCTTCCTTCCCTTCCTTCCTTCCTTCCTTCCTTCCTTCCTTCCTTCCTTCCTTCCTTCCTTCCTTTCTTTCTTTGGTTTTTCGAAACAGAGTTTCTCTGTAGCTTTGTGCCTTTCCTGGAACTCACTCACCGCCCAGCCTGCTTTACTTAATTTCAAAACAAGCCTGGTATTAGCCCCATTTGGTCAATGAGAATACTAAGGCTAGAGGTGATACCCCGTGCTCAGGTTCACTCAGCCAGGCAGTGAGGAGACAGGATTTGAACCCAGGCTGGCTATCTCCACGTCTAAAGTGCATTCTGTAGCCAGAGCTAAATGGAAGGACTCATCCCGCACCATTGGAAGCCCTTTCTCTTTCTCTGCCTCTCTGTTTTCTGAGGTCACTTCATTCTCAGAGAGCCTTACTATGTGATGTCAGGGTGCAGACTGCCAGTCCATGTCACCTCCACAGTTAGCAACCCCACCGGAGGCTCTCCTGGCAGGTCACCTCTTTCCTTTGCCCTTCTAAACATTTCTGCACTTTTATTTATGTCAGTGAATGTTTGCTGGGATGTATGTCTGTGTACCGTGTGTGTACCTGGGTACCTGTAGACATGAGAAGAGGGTATCAGATCGCCAGGGACCAGAGTTACAGATGGTTGTGAGCCAGCAAGTGAGTGCTAGGAACCAACCATGGTTCCTCTAAAAAGAAGCCAGCACTCTTAACCGCTAAGCCATCTCTCCATCCCCTCCGTTGCCTTTTTTTTTTTTTTAAGTAAGTTGTTCTACTGAGAGATTAAACAGGATTGTCTTCAGTTCATGCTTTTACCTAACTCTGATAGCCAAAGAAGTGGATTAATTCTGGAGTGAACTGTAACTGACAGGGTCTGTATATAATAGGGAGGGGACAGTGATGGCCACCCCAGTTGGACCTGGGATAAAGGTGAGGAGAGACGCTTTTGTATAAGCAAAGCAGGCAGACCCAGGCCTCAGTTCCACCAGGGCTACTGCAAACCGTCCTCAGCTTCCAACCCCCTTCACTCTGCTCCAGGTGATTGTTCAGCGGAGCCTGGCTGCCAAGAACCTGTCTCATGCCAAAGGAGGTTCCCTGATGGCAGCGTACCTGAAAGTGCTTCCTCTTTTCCTAATGGTGTTCCCTGGTATGGTCAGCAGAGTCCTCTTTCCAGGTGAGCAGGTTGCTGGGGTCAAAGGTCATCTGTTTGTCCGCAAGTCTCAGGCTCTAGGTAATGTTCTCAATGTGTCACCCACCGTCCCACAAGAGTAGGACTAGAGTCCCGGCCTGGTGACCAGATGGAGGTTTCCCATCCATCTGTTCACTTCATGCTGCTACCCAGCACTGACTCAGCGGACAAGACCCGCTGGTATTCCAAGATGAGGGAGTGGATGCTTACTGGAGTCTTCCACTGTATCTTCAAACCACAGAGTAGTCCAAGGTTCTGTGGTTCCACACACTTATTCCACAAGACAAGTCATGTGTCCATGCTTTAGGGCTCAAGCTCAGTGTTCTGGTAATTTTGGCCTACTGGAACCCCTCCTGTGACAGTAAATATCAGGGGACATAAATAACTCTACAGGAGCATGTACACACACACACATACACACACACACACACACACACACACACACACACACACACACACACACACGCAGGAGCTTATGTGGCCTAGGCTGGGCTTGAACTTACGATGCTCCCATGTCTGCCTCTCAAATGCTGGGATTACAGGTGTGTACCGCCATGTTTGGCTAGCTTTTTTACTTCCAATGCATTCAAGAGGTTTCTACATATACATAAACAATACTTAGTAAGTGATGTGACTCTGGTGTCAGGAGCTGGTGATCTGCACAGAACAAACCTGTTTCTTCTTTCAACAGTGAGCATTCCTCTGTAAGCACCAAGACCATAAATCAGATCCTCCCAGAAAGCATCCTCTTGTTCCTCATCCCTACAGGTTATACTAGTGGTTCTCAACCTGTGGGTCGTGACCCCACTAGGGTTGCATATCAGATTATGTGACATTATGACTCATAACATTAGCAAAGTTACAGTTATGAAGTAGAAATGAAAGAATTTTATGGTAGTGGTCACCACAACATGAGGAATTGTATTAAAGGGTCACAGTGTTAGGAAGGTTGAGAACCATCGAGTTAAAGATGCAAAGAAAGAGTAGGATGGATGGGTAGCAGTGGCTCACACCTTTAATCCCAGCACTGGGGAGGCAGAGGCAGGTGCATCTCTGTGAATCTGAGGCCAGCCTGGTCTATAGAATGAGTTCCAAGACAGCCAGAACTATATAGAGAAACCTTGTCTCAAACTCTCCTCCCCTCCCCCCCCCAAAAAAAAGAGTATGGTAAGTGACCATTCATTAGCCAGTCCAGTTAGGTCAAAATCATTCAGAATCTTTAAGAATTAAAGGGGAGTTGGGGGAAGGACACTGACCATGGTGTTGAACTCTGAAAGCTTCCTCTCTAGCCCAGATGGGGATCATGGGTCGTGCCTCCATGCAGGGGGCACACAGCTTGGGAAAAGCGTGAGGGGGCAAGATCCGAGATCTTGGCTTCTTGGTGACTTGATGGAAAAGCACATGACTGCTGTAAAGCCTGACAGATAACAACAGATGAGGTTTAAAGGGACCACACTGACTTCATGCCTGCTAAGGGCAAGTCCCTGTGGACAGACAGGTGCAGATGGTGGGCTCTGTTCTAGAGGATAGGCAGGTGCTGATGGTGGGCTCTGTTCTAGAGGACAGACAGGTGCAGATGGTGGGCTCTGTTCTAGAGGACAGGCAGGTGCTGATGGTGGGCTCTGTTCTAGAGGACAGACAGGTGCAGATGGTGGGCTCTGTTCTAGAGGACAG